TTTAGCTAATATATTTTACTCATATAATTGCAGATTTAAGAAGAAAATTAGATCATGTTATTTATAATAATCATTGGACAAAAAAATATATATATAAATATAAGAAATATTATGATATAGATTATATAAAGAGTATGACGAATTGATTTTATTTAAAAATTTAAAAAGATAATACTATAAAAATATATCAAAATACGTATATAGAAATCATATATATAAAAGACACGATATTCTGTTAAGAATTACATTTAAAGAGTTCCTTTCGAACAACATTCTATTTTTTTTCTGTCGGCAAAATTCTCAAATGTGCAGTGATATTTTTATCCAATAAAAAAATGAACAGTAACACAACAGTTACATCGTTTAATGCAAATATTTGTAACAATAATCTCTTGTAATTCTTTGCAGTTGTAATTTTTAATCTCGGACAGATTTATATGTATATAGAGAGAATCTGATATTTAGCTTTAGCATATTATAGAAATATATGTCTAATGAATAAACGTCACGAACATATGACAAACCGTGTCGATGGGTAGAACCGACGATTATTGGCGGGTGATGTGGCCGGTTCCCAGGCCACTGAATCGATGAATGCACGTTGTTGTTACTAGTGTTTACCAATTAGCCAGCGCGCAATTATAATTGGTAATTGCAGGTACTTGCAGACCACGGCGCCGCAACCCTCCCTACGGCATGTCGTCTATCCGCGAATCACCCCATCGAGACGCCCCCGTACGTCATGTTAATTTTAAACGATGATATCATCGACTACATTGAAACGAAAGTCGCATTCGCGGTATGCGCATATATACGACTTTGTCATCAATTAAATTCCTGCCAATTAGAAAGCGTGACGAATTTACACGGGAAAAAAATTAGTCCTAAAAAAAATATTCTTATATGTGAACAAAAATATTATAATCTTTTTAGAAAGTTTAATCTTGATTTGATTGAATTTTGCATTGATGCAAGTATTACTTTTGCTCAACCCAAGATTAAATCTTCTATGAAGATTATAATATTCTTGTTTATATACGAAAATGTATAGCCTTAAAGATTAATTTTTTTCTTTGCGTAAGGATTAAAAAATTAGGGATAACTTTCAATTCCTGAAGTTCGGTAAAATGCCAAGTAATAAGGAAACTGAGTAGTATACTTAAAAAAAAAACCACTCCTTAATTTCAAAGAGCTATAATGCAATTCAATTACACAGACTATATAGTGAATTTCCGTAAATCTATTTTAATTCATTTACAAAGCGGCATGATGATGGAGAGGAAGCTAAGCAATTTTTCAGAGATGATAGAAAAGGGCTTTTCGCCGAGGGAAACAGAACGTTCAACAGTTCAAAGTTTGTTCGTTCGTTTCATACAGCCGGAAGGACTGCGCGCGTTTCAAACGAGAGAAATCGCTGCGACGTGGAAATATATATACATCCGATTCGCGCGCGCAGCCGGGATAAAGAATAGACGATGGTTTCTCTGTCGGCCGTCGCCGGGGTAGATCCGATATAACGATAGCGACAAGTTAAAGAGGATGCCGAAAGGATATCGGGGTCGCGCCGTCGATTGAGCACGAAGGTTAGGAGAAAGGTTAGGCAGCCTCGACCCGGAAAACTGATTCTTCCCCGTATCTGCAGTTCGGTCGAGTTAGAGAAGTGGACCTCTCATAGATTTTTCTTGCAAATAGATTTTTCTACCGAGCGCGACTCTCGCGCGCTTCCACGCGAGAATCGACGTCGGTCGTGAAGAAAGAGACGCGGATAAGATCAACGCGAGACACGAAAAGAGAAAAAGAGTGAGAGAGAACGAACAATAGATGTGTCGTATTTGGCGTTATTGAAACAAAACTTCTTCGTAGATTTATCTTCTAGCAGGATTCATTTTTCTCGTCGAACATAGAAGATACACACAGAGACAGCTTGAAACTTTAAACACGTTCTGATGTCGCGGGAAATAATCGAGTATTTTTATTTATTAAAAATTTATTAAAAATAATCCTGTCTGGGAAGAATTCTTTAAAGTAAAAGTGTTTAAAAAAATGTTTAAAAAAGCTGAAGTATTTAAAAATTTAAATAGATACAAATCTGAAAAAATTTTGCTGGATTATATATATATAATTATGTAAGAATTTAAGCATGATAATAATAATGATAATAATAACTTTTAAAATTCTAATCAACTTGAATGATTATATGAGTCAGCAAAATTATTTTCAATTATTTTCTACTTAATCAATTGTGCTTTAATAAAATTGCCCTTTTTATGTAAGAGATTCGCAGAAAAAATAAATTAGGTCTTAAATCAAGATTATATATTCTTATAAGTAAGAATATTAAAATCTTCGAAGAAGATTTTTCTATCTATTTCGAATCTATAGATTTTTTTTAGTCTCGAATTGAATACAAGTAATACTTGCGTCGATACAAATTTATAATAATCTTGCTTACATATGAGAATATATTTGTCTTGATTTCAAATTAATCTTTCTCCTGTGTCGAAGAAGCGAAGATACTTTGCCTATCGATCGATATAAAGTTTCTTCTATCTTTGTCCCTTTCCTTTAATTTCGTGCGGTCATAAAGTCACGATATCTATACAATCTTCGAAATGCCATCCGACTCGCCATCCAGGCCGTCCCGTTGATCCGTTTGAAGACAGCCGTCAATCTGAGCGAGGCCTTCGGGAACGCCGTCGAATCGATACCTTCGTCCGATCCTGCCGTCGTCCTCGACGTGAAAGGCAAAGTGGATATGCAAGCGGCTGCGTCGTATCTCCATTCATCTGCATACGAGCCGAAGTCCTCCACGGAGGCCAATAGAGCGACTCCTCGGAATCCCCGCAGAATCGACTCTCAGAACTCCTCTCCTTTGACATCGGAATTATTGTCCTCCTGACGCTTTTCAATATGAATCAGGAGGAAGATCTCTCAGTTTTACAGCCCTTCGTTGTGTAATTTAATGAAATCCTTCTCTTCCCTCCGAATCTTTTTACCTCTCAGACTGTTATACATAGATTCCGTCATTTTAACATTCCTCGGATTCTTCGTATCCAACGAATCAAATCACCGTGTCCCGCCGCTCTTTCGTACGGATCGTAGAAACTTCGCGTCTCGAATCGACCGACTTCTTAACCTTCAGATCCTTTAAACCTTTCAGAAGGTTATATGTATCTTTAAAGTTCCACATAAATAATGTCTAGAAAAGTGTTCATAGAAGCTGTAGATTTTTCGCGTTGTAAAAAATCGAATACCGATGAAAGGACTGCCCTCACGTGGAAAAATCTCTTAGGAAATCTTGCGATGAGAGGCCGCACGCTTCTCGTTTCCTTTAACACCGAGGTTACCCTATATCCTTGAGCTTACTGACGACGCAACGGAGGATACTATACTACACGAGCAGGCTCATCCCCTTCCGTACTCTCTCTCTGCTTTTCGTCCTGTCTCGGCAAGGGGTCAAAGACGAGCAGAGAGTTAACATCTCTTGTATACCATATCTTGTACACCCTATTGAGGCACAGACGTTAACCTTTGCCGAATCCTCCCTCATGCGCAATCACTCTCCTTTGAGTCCGGGATTGTTCTACGATTGGCCATGACGCGAGATCTCCGCTTTGTCCTAACATTATCCCGCTGGATCCGTGTTACGAGCGCGGTTACATCACGATACTTCTGACAATAGATTGAAACGTTTGGGGGGGAAAACGGGAGGCCAACGATACGTGTAACGAGGGCTGTCGTGCTTGCGAGTACAATAGAAAATAGGGGATTTCAATAACAGTTTCAATAGACAGATAAACCGACAGTGTTACGTAATCGTGGTCAATCGTGACGATTTGTCGTTTAAAGATTCGCTTTCCTCTTTTCACGAGTTAATTGTTCCGCACGATCGCAATACGTAATTCGATTTAAAAGATCATAAAGGAATTTGGAATTTTTTCACGCGAGTAAATTTCGTCTAAAGCGAAAGATTAAAGGTCGTCACGCGGAATGTTAACTTCCATCCATGTCGCCGGGCGAGAAAAAGGCTGTCGCGGGAATCCAATTAATCGATATTCGTCCACGTTAAAATGCGGAAACGATTGCCGGCTCTCGGCCGAATTTTTTTCACAACCCCGTGGAACGCGCGGCACGCTCGACGCACCCCTGCCACAAAGACGGCGTAATCGATATTGCGGATTTTCAAAAGCCCGGAATATATCGAGGGAGAGACGCGAGAGAGGAATTACACGTCAATCTATCTGGGATTTAAGTATCTCAAGATCACGGCAGCCAGGAACTTATGCAGATGCAGAACGTGCGTCATCAATATGCGTGCAAGCCGTTAAATTATTCCACTGTGTATTCGGCGTAACAACTTCCGCTATGGAGAGACGCTATTCTGAGAGACGCCGGTCTGGAAATAAATATGCAGGGCACGTAGTCTTGATCGGCGATATCACAAAAGAATCGTAAAAACGATAAGAAATAATTTCGTTGAATAAAAGATATACGTATAATTTAAAAATCTCTGATATAATATACATCCTTAATTCTCTTAATTCGTAAATTTATATTCGTTATTATTAAATGATTGCAGATATAGATCGAGCAATTACCGCTCTCTTTTTTCATATTTTTAATATTAGATTTCTGAAATGAATGAATATTTAATATCAAGAATGAATTTTTAAAGTTAAACTTAATTGAATGAATATGTTATCAGTCGAGATCTCACAAATGCTTATTTTTATTATTATTATAAAAAATTATTTAATTTTTAATTATCGGACTTTTATTCAATTTAAATTTAAAACAATCAAATGAAAGAAAAAGAATAAAAATATTAAAATACATTATAAACATTATTTGATTGTCAATAACATTAAATTAAAAAAAATAATTATACACGCGCATGTGTCACTATTCTAGAAAAAAATTAAATTGCAGAGTAACTCAGATATATTTAGTTAATATAAGAATAAAGATAAATTTTTATTAATATAAATAGTACAAAATATATGATATAATATTAATAATTGAAAAATACACACATTTTCATATACAATGCATATATAATAATTTCCTCAAGCACTCTAAGTAAACAATCAAATACGGATGTTATTATTACGTAAGGCGCTTTACATGATCTGGCTTCCTTTGAGAAACCTTGATGAAACCGAGGAATACGAGGGAGGTGACCGCTTCAAAAAATCGATATCTGAATTCTCGTTAAGGATAAGTTACTACACGATGAAATGCAAGATAACACGTGCAAATTATTCAAACTAGGAGGTATCTAGTTCGCAGAAGTTACGCCTAGGGTACGATCCTTATGTTAGGAAGCGTGATATGAATTTCAAAGGCAAGACGCGGGTAAGACAAATCTCGATGTGTGCCGATCACAGTCCTCGCGCGTTTGTAGAAACTTTTGTAAAGGATACCGCATTACCGGATCTATGTCGTCTTTGTTCTGCTTACTTTGGGATCGCGGATCGACAATCGTCAAAAACGCCTGCAAACAAATATAACAAGTATGTCTCCTTAAATCTTAAAGGTGTATTCAACAATGAAAATAGTCGCGTTTAATAGAATGTTTATTTCGCAGTTCGTCAGTTTCGTCAGTTTTTCTGTGCTGAAATTGGATTATTTCAATCTTCTATAATTAGATATATTCAATAATAAAAAAAAATTTCCAACAGTTAACAAACGTTCTGTTGAACGTGGAATAATTATAACAAATGTGAAATAATTTAATAACTTAAAAATAGAATCAACAAACATTTCAGAAAAAGATGAAGCATTTACAAAAGTGAGAGCGTTGGAAAAAACGTCAGAAAAAACTTTACAAAGCCTTCTGAGATTTCCTTATAAAATTTTAAATTCCTCCTATATTAAACGTCTAGTAATATCCCGTGATTGTTGATCGGCGCCATTGAACCGCTTGGCGGAGAGCACGGTTTTCGCTGGTGCAATTTTCACGAGAAGCATTTTACCGGCTTTCTAACAACCGACCGGCGATAAAGCACTCGGCACCCCTTGTGTATGCCTTGCTTACAATGACGTGCTCGCGTGAATCACTCGCGGCGGCAGCGGCGATTAAAATCACGAGACGGCCGACCGGCCGGGTGCGTGACCATAAGTGTAACAGGAATTAACCTGTAAACATGAGCACGGGGCGGATTGTTACCTGCAGCCAGTCGTACATATTGATCTGCTTCCCGGACTCCTTGTGTAGCTTATAAATTATACTCAGGTCGGGGAGCGTGCACAGAATGTCGTCTTCGTTCTCCAATTTGCAGCAGGCGCACTGAAATATATGTCTCCAATTAACTGTGCCGTGCGGCTGACTGAAAATTGGATAACCGCAATTTTTCAGCAAGTTATCGATAAATCCTTTATGTAAGAGAGAACTAAATGTCACAGAGATGCAACGCACAGTGGAAATCGAAAACATCTTTAAAAATGAATCGTGATATCAAGATCTCAGCTTGTAATAAACAATGAAACGTTAGAATAGAAAATTTAGAAATAGAGACTGAAGAATGAATAATTTTAGCTGTTCATATTAAAATCCCGAATCGAATGTGATTGAAGAACATCGATATTATCTTCTCTAAATAGTACTAGTTTCAACATCAATTCAAATCCAAGACGATAGAACGCGCACAAATCCGTTCACATTATTTAAGGACTAAATTTGGTAACTCCAAATTATTAACGAACGGTTTTTCGGGCAACGTTCCGTAACAAAAGGATTAGCTGGCGAAATCGCGTGCATGAGCTATTTCGTGCGGAGCTTCTCCACTCACGTCCAGATACATCTGCGGATCACTCAATCCCATGTGTACGCAAGCCCGCAAAGAGCCGCGAATATGTTGTTTTGCCTGAGTCCCGTCGCTGTAGCAGAATATCTCATAAGCCGGCACGCGATTCGGATTGATCAGGTGAACGGAAAATACTTTTTGGTCCAGGTAATTGATCAGATCAATCTGCGCCTGCTTGTAAGCCGTGCGCGACTGTTGCTGACTCATTTGAAGTAATTTCTGAAAAGAGGGCACGTGATAATCAAACGTGAACTGCTAATCACCGTCCTACCGTTTTCGTCGACAATCTTTATTTCTAAATCACGAAGTTTCGATCGTTCACGCTTAATAGCGACGATGTATATAGACAGAAAAAAACCTTGCTTTTATGTGATTTCATATAAAATAAGTAAATCTATCATTAAATGATAAATCTATAAAAAGAATTACGAAAAATTATTGATATTTTAAGTTTTTAAATTTTATCACGTCAGATTTAATCTGATACAGAAATATGTTTCTTTGCAATAAAATAATAGTATAAAGTAGTACAACGTATCATAACAATGTTATACTTTTGCACAAGAAATTAAGAGGAATAATTGGGAAAAAAAACACACAAACCTCTTTTAATTGTATACGACTAAGTTTTTTCTCCAAGCTGACGATTTCGGAAGATGTAGTGCTTAGACTAGCTTCTTGAATCATCTCGATGTAAGTATCGAGATCGTTTTTTATTTTCTCAATAACCGGATCTTTAGATTTCTTTATAATTTCTATGACAGAGTTTAATTTCGAGAGGAGTTCCTCTTTCGACAAAAATCCCAATAATTTCAAACACTCTTTATATTCGGAGGACTCTGTGAGATTGTTTATGTAAACCACTTTGGTATAAATTTCCCGTAACTGAAATGATTATTGTGTTGTTTATTTCGCGGTTGCAATTTTTTAATCGATGTATCATTGCTTATGTATTATGTAATGTATTATGTAATGTATGTTATTCTGAATCGAAGCATCATATTACCTGTTTACCCATTGGCGAACCTGGTAAAGTAGCACTCAAACAATGTAAACATCTCAAAATAATTAAAAATCGATCCATAAACTTGTGAAAATCGTTTAACAACTTTTCTAGCAGTTCCTATAAAAAGCGCAAATTAAAAAGTTGGTCCGGAAACATATTGGATTATCAAAAATTACATCAGGAAGAGAGAAAGATTTAAAAGTTAAAACTGTCTTATAAAAATTTAATTTGTATCAAATATGTTTTATCCTTCTATTTCCAATATTAAACAGCCTCATAAGCATAATGGCAGCTGTATTAAAATTTCTGGCACAAATTAATTAATTTACGTATTTAAAAGATATGCTCCTGTTACTGATAGCTATAATTTTTGGAAAATCTTTCAACTCTCGTAAATAAACAATGCGAACCGTGAATTTTTTATCGCTCTTTTTATCGCTGTGCTCTTCATCTCCATTAGATATTTCACTGGATGACTTCAAATATTTAACGATAGATGGTAAATTTTTAATGTCTGCGATATTTTCCTCAGTAAGCTTAGATATTCTCTTTTTAATGTCTTTCGGTTGACAACAAAGAGAGCTTATATTATTGTCATAGAAGTGTTGTATCATGCACAACTAAAAATCATTATAACTTAAAATCAAATAATCAGTCGAATGTCGATTAAAATTTTATCGACTGTTTACCTTATAATTTTGTAAAAAAATATCTACTGAAAAATCGTAGAACAGAAATATATCTGTCAGTAATTGAAACGCGCGACCGATCAATTTAAATGGAATCGTTGAAGTAAAAACAGTGCTCTCTAATACATCTGACAGTGTTTTAACTTGCGTTTGCGTATGGAATACCTAAAAAATGGATAGCCAATAATAACTTAAAATCGTGAAAATAAAAACTTAATATCGTGTCAAATAAAAACATTCATTCAACTTGCCTGCACTACCAACTTAGATGTGACGTAATACGTCAATGATTTATGTACAGCATGCAACGTGGTTGCGACACCGAAAATAAGTACAAACTTTAATGTACTCCTGTACGAACTGAAAATTATTATTTTTTTACACATGTAATTTTTTTAATGCGTTCCACACATGCACTGACACATTGCCAAGAATACCTCAACACCAGAATAAAATCGTGTAATACATCAGTGATGAAGCTTTCAAAATCCGGCAAAATTATGATTAATGGATCCTCCAGATCGTGATTTTCTTCGAAATACTCTTTCAAAACACGCATAGTACATTGACTTTTACGTATTTTACAATCGTCCTACAAACGGTATAGATAATTTATTTAAAGATTGCAATAAACTATGCCTGTACATTACTATTTCTGTACTGTTATCACAAAATTAACTAACATTTGAGTTGTAGACAAGTTGATATACGGTTTCCTGGATGATGGTTTTCAAATTATTGCATTCTCTGCTCCATACCATTGCTATGTGCGATGTTATCTTACTAAGACTGGACACAATTGTGTCGAAAAGTATGCAATGATCAGGGACATTAACTCCTATAATTTTAATTTATTTAACTCTTAGTTAATACTTATTAGAAATCACTAGAGAAAAATTTTTCTTCACCAAGCAAAAATTATATTTTTATGTAACTTAAATATTTAATGATTTAAATTTCGCGTTAACAATGATGAAACTTTCACAAAATCACCGTGACTTTTTCACCTGTTAACAAAATAGCCGTGGCTATTTCCTGAGATGAAATATTTAATGAATTTGATTTTGTTGCACGCACGAAAGACATCAAATCGGACATAATTTGTTGGAACATTTTTGATGTAACATTCTGAAATATTAATGTATTCTATTATGTATTCTATTGTTTTGAGATTTGTTTATTAGAAGTTACTGATGTACACAGTACCTCCACAACTTCATCGATGTATTGACACGTTTCATCAAACGCGATATACCAGGGTGCCTTAAGATATTCCGGATGTATAACTTCTTTCTTTTTCTTTTTCCCAATTTTATATTTTCCTTTATAAGCAAATACTCCCTAAAATAACAATCGATACTACATTCTTGCATTTTTATATATTTATACCTAGAAATTCGCAAAAGGACAGAAGACTCTTCTATTTAAGCTTAATTCCCGTAGTTTAGTTCCCGTTCTGCCCATGGGAAGTGATATGATTATTACCGGACACTTTGTATAATTACTATAGAAGTGGTATAGAAGCCACTGACGCGTTCTCTTTCGCGCGTAACGCGAATCCTATATGCACGAGTCATAACTTTGTACTTTGAGGTTAAGCCGGCGATAGCAACAGGTTGCACGTGTCGCGTTTCGCTTACCTTGGACAGAGAAAAGTCCTCCATTCTGCGATCATCAACGTTGTCAAGATAATGATGAATATATAATGATGAATATATACTCGTCTTATCTAGGCATTTCGATTGATAAGAAACGAGTAAACTCACAGCACAAAACACGCACCACCGATCCCTTCGCGTAGCCGAACTCAACTGAGAAATGAACGCGGGAACTGTTCAGTGTTGCCAACAATAAAAATGTCTCGAAATGCCCCTTTTCTACAATCTTGTCTCGCACAGTAGAAATGAATAAATGAAGATTTTAATTTGTAAACTTGTAGATACTACAGACGCGCGTTGCACGCGCGTGCTATTTATCTCTTTAAACAAGAGTTAAATTTATTAATACTGTTTTACTATTAAGAAGATATTGACATTATCGACCATAATCACGATCGATATCGACTCATTCGATAGA